AAAAAAAAAAAAAAAAAAAAATACCAAAAAAAAAAAAAAAAAAAAAAAAAAAAAAAAAAAAGAACTTTAATAGCCAGTCTGGCCATTGGCAGTATATACAAAAATCAAGACTGAAAGCAGTCTCAGAGTAACACTACTTGCAAGCTTGGTAAAAAGTTGTCTTTTTCAAAGACCACTCGAGAGGAAACTGTGATGTTTGAAAATACCTCCGAATACTGTCAAAGTACCGTTTCCTACAGCAGTTTTAAATATGGTTTGATTTTCTTGGTAGTAATTTAGTGTTTTTCCTATTAAAACTGTTTAGAGCTAGTACATTTTAACTCTAGATAGGAGCAATTAAAATTCACTGTTACAAGCCTCAGAGATGGAAAATATATTTTAATGCTCATGTAAATTTCTTATATTTGTTGGGAATATTGCATATCAATTCATGAGAAACCTTGGATGGTATGGATATCACGGATTCACTTCTTGGGTGAATTTGAATAGCTCTGGCTTTGCTAATTTGGCAGGGGTTAAAATAGCCCAATTAATGATCTGAGACTTTGCAGCCATGAAAATCAACAGAGAGGCTGTTTTGGGCACTGAATTTTTCTGTAGTATGGATGATGTGGGCTGCTGGTAAGTGAGCTGGGTTGGGACGGGGGCAATGGACCTTTGTCCTGGTGGGAAACTCTTCTAAGCTGTTGATAAGAAGTAATAAAATTGTCCTTAAGACACAATGGCACGCTATTTTGGTAGAGGTGCCTTGATATATCGGTCCATATCTGATTGGCACTGATAAAAGGAAAATTGACATTATCAGCAATTGGCTTTTTATGGCCAATAATGTCACTGATAAATGGTGCATGCATGCGCACAACTGCAGCATGCGCACGGCCAGGAATGCAGCCCAGCAGCTTGGTGTGCAGCATCCTTCCAGTAAGTCTGGGGGAGAAGGTTGTGGGGAGAGGGGGGGCAGAACGAGGCCCCCACAGTGGGAGGGAGTGGGGCTGGGACAGGGGCAGAGACAGATAGGCACTGTTGAGCTGGGGTGGGGTGAGACGCAGCTCCCCACCACTGTGTGTATCCCCAGGGGAGGCATGGGGGCATGTGCCCACTGGATTTGTGCATGGGGTGAGGGTGGACTGCCCACTGTGGGCTCAGGGCCAGGAGCTACACAAACCTCTTCCTGGCAGGCGGGGCTGGGCCAGGGCTGTGCTCTGGGCAGGTGGTGGCAGCATGGGCGGGGGGGGGGCCTATGGCGAATTTTGGGGTGGCTGTAATGGAGCCCCAGCCTAACCCACCCCACTGAGAATAGGCTGGCACAGTCCCTTGCCCTGTGCACAAATCTGGGAGTGCACGCAGTGGAGGGAGCTGGACCTTCTCCCCCCACACCCCCAATGCCCCCAGATGAGCTGCCTGCAGTCCATCGCAGGCCCCACTCCACCCCACCCTAGCTGGGCAGTACCTGCACCTTCCTGCCTCCCTCCTTCCTCGGGGGGCCCTTGCTGCTCTGCCCCTTCTTCCCCACAAACTTGCTGGCTGGACTCTGCTTCTGAATCTGCCTGGCTGCATATTGGCTATCAGGTTAGTATCAGCTGATATGGTTGGTTAATAATCAGCCATTGGTATCAGCCAAAAAGATTTTCATCAGTGCACCCCTACTTTTTGGGCTGCCTAGTGGCTCTCTCTCCAGCTTTATTCTTTCAGAAACAGGCAGCTGTTTCTTAGTTCTTTGCCATGCTGCAGTCTCTCATATATGCTAAGCCAGGAGCCAGGACAATAATAGAAATTTCTCCTGGGACCCAGGAGAAAAATCAGTTCAGTAGAGGAGACGGAACATGGGTAGGTAGCAAAGCTTTGAGGGAGCTAGTGGTGAAGGGTGGGGGGGAGGAAAGGGGAAGGGAGGGAGAATATGTACAGTCATGGAGCAGGTATGAAGAGTCACTGCAGAGTTAAAAGAAGCTGCTAATCATCTACAAGTGGTATGTTAAATAAACTCAAGGTCTAATAGCCCCACTCTACGTGTGCTCTTTAATTGTGCAGTTACCTTGAGACTAGCTAAAAAAAGAAAAAAAAGTAGCTATCTCACAATAAAAAGCTCCAACCAGCTATAAAGTTAAACTTCGAAAATGTGTACTAACTATATATTTGATTGCTATCAAGCTTTAATTTGCATGTGTAGCAGGGTCTACCCCTGTGGCTTGCCACCCCATCAGCTCTGGACTCCCAGCCAAGGGGGTTACATTTTGCCCAGTCAGGTCTACAAGCCCCACAACTGCTGGGGGCTCAGCAGCTGCCAACTCTGGGTCCTAGCAGCACCCCACAACTGCTGGGATCCACAGTCCCACAGCTGCAGATGCTGGGTCCTCAGAGCATGCCTCCTAGTGATTCCCCTGCATCAGCAAGAAGGCAAAAAAAAGACATGCACAATCCCACAGTTGCCCTTTCTGCCATGCATGTGTGGCATGGCAGGTGGTGGCAATTGTGTGATTGTGTATTAGATCCCATTGCGCCTTTACCTGCATGTGTAGAGGGGGCCTGAGAGACACTGAAGGTACTTTTACATTGTGTTTATAAATTCATGTTGCCAGAAGAAAAACCTATCAATGTATGCATGGAATGGTCAATTGCCTGGGGTATTTAAGCCTTTTAACAACCAACTTGGCGAAAATCTGGCAAAAAGTTTCATATGTTGGCTGTTATGATGAGTGGGAATTTTTGTCATTGATGTGTTATGAAAGAGCTAAGGGAAATAATATTACTATGAGTAATTATTTGTAGAGTAATTTAAATAATTGCCTGAAATCAGAGCATAACATAAATGCTAGTTTTAGTCACTTAAACTATGACTCGGTAATCTATGAAAAATATAGTAGTGTGCTGTTCACCTATATCTTGGGGAATTTTGAATAATAAGATCGCATTTTAATAATGCTGTATATTAATACTTGAGCCTTGATGCAGTTGATGTGCCTGAAAGATTCAGTAAAAAGAGTAAGTTTTAATTTACAGTGGATGAGATTTTTCTCTTAAGTCAGAAGAACATATAGAAGTACTGAGAAGATTTATTTCTATATTATCTATTCTGGAAATGGACAGCATATTTTGTCACTTGCTGATATTGGTAGTTTTGCTTCTGTTTTTAGAACTCCATCAAATAGATCTTGGTATCAATAAAATAGTTTAGATGCTTTACCTGGAAACATGTTGAAGTATCTTAGTGTTTCCAAACTGTGGGGTTGATTCTATTATATGGCAAAGAGAAAGCAGATAGGGAATTATTACTTACTCTCTTGCAATAGAACTACAGGTCACAAAATGAAACTGGTAGGTACTAAGCTTAAAACTAACAGAGAGAAGTTTTTTCACCAGTGGGTGAATGTGTAAATCAGCACAATTAAATTTAATGTGCATTAAGCTAATGCACATTAAGTGATTTTTGGCAGATGTTTACAGGTGCAGGGACTTGGGACTACAGTTAGTCCCAAGTCCCTCCATCCCTGCCATGTGTCCCTGTGGCCACCGAGGGGAGCTCCAGCCTCTGACCATATGGCTGCCAGCACTTGGCAGCCATCTTGGAAACTCTGATCCCTGGCCAGCCCCTTCCCTGCCCAGTGCAGGGGCAGCATGTGGAAGCTCCCTCTATGCGCACCCTGCCTCCCCATGCCATGGCTGCTCCAGCCCCTGTCAGTAATGCCCAGTGTCCTACTGCTTCAACCCAGCCCCTACCAGTGATGACCAGTGTCCTGCACTGCTGCTGGCCATGGTGCTAGCCCCAGGACAGCTGCACATCCACCATTAGGGGCCAGGGTACTGGCTGCTGGAGGCCCTGGACGACCCTGTCCTCCTGCACTTCCTACTTCAGCCTGCCTGCCTGACCACCCGCACACATCCTACTCCCTGCCCACCCCCAGCACCACTCTCAGGACACAGACATGGGTGAAACAAAAACGGTTTATTTCCCTCACAGTACTCGCCCCCCTCCCTCCCCCCCTCCCTTGCCAACACACAGAGCCCCCTTCCCCCATGCCCCCTCAACCATCAAAGCACCTTCCCCCACTCCCTTCCCAACACATAGTACCCATCTACCCCCTCCCCACCCAACACCAATAAAAACCCTCTCTCCAGTGTCAAAACTATTTACAATAGTCTGTCTCTGTCTGCAAGTCCTGGAGTGGGGGACTGTGGGATGAGGAGGGTGTAGAGGGCAGATGCCCAGCACCCCAGCCTTGGTCCATTCCTTGCAGGTGTGAGGGTCATGGAGACCATGGCGGGCTTGTCTCCAGCAACTGCCAGCTCCGCCTCTGCCAGTCTGAGTCCAGGGCCAGTGGCCTTGGGGTGAGCAGTGGGGCTGGTCCTAGGCAAGATGTGGGGGACCCAGGGTGGGAGCTGGGCCAGGTGCTGCAGTGACCAGGGGGCTCTGGATGACTGCTGTAGGGCAGTGGGTGGGACCTAGGGGCCCTATAGGGCCCCAGGCAGGGGCCAGGCAGTGGAGGGCAAGAACATGGGTGCCACACACAGGACTCTGTCCAGGGCTTGGCGGTCAGCTTCAGTGGCTTCCAATACAGGCCTACCTGCTGCTGGAGCAGTGCCATGTGGTCCCGCTCATGGGCCTCCATGCATGACCAGTACTGTCACTGGGCCCAGGCCTATACCTCCTCCAGGGTGATATCTTCCTGCCACCAGGCCAGTTCCTGTGCCTCCCATGTTTGCTCCCACACCTCCTATGCCTGCTTCCGCACCTTCCACTCCTCTGCCACCATCACCAACCACTGTGGTAAGCTGGCTGGGCAG